GAAACCCAGGATTGACGAACCTATAGGGACAGCAAGTAGAATAAGGGTTTCGAGGGCAGGGGGTACAATGGGCAGGGGGCGGGGGGGTGGGAAGATAGTAAAAGGAGATGATGTCAAGGAGTCCAGGAAGAAAAAGAATGTTTGGAAACTGATTGTGGTAGCAATTGTACAATACTGCTTGATGTAATTGAACTATAGAACAATATGCTATCTGTATTAACTCCTAATTAAATGGTTTTGAGGGGGGTGAATAAAGACATCATTAAAAGGCTGAAAAGACAGCCATAGTGTGGGGGAAAATACATTACTAATAAATTCATGCAACCAAAATCTCATCGCCAGAGTTTCCACAAGGCGGTAAGAAAATGCTATCAACTCAGCGATGACAAAGGTAGAAGACAGGAACAGGAAGTTCCCCAGAGAGAAGTCAGGAAGCCTGTGCAATCACAGTGTCATGGTCATTCAGGAAAAGGTGAGTTCGATGCACAGTGAGACACCAGGACACACCCACCAGAATGGCTGAAATTCAAACCCTGGGTGTGTCACTCAGAGGACAAGTGAGTACAGCCAGCACTCTGATAAACTATACACACACATTCCGACCCAGCTATGCCACTCCTAATGAACTGCACGCACAAGGCCCAGAAAGGCATGTACGAGAATGTCCACAGCAGCCTCGTTCATCGTAATAAACAACAAAACACCCCAAAGAACTGTCCCAGAGCTTCGATTCTGAGCAGAAGGCTGTGTGGATGACAGTGGAAGCCCAAAATCCATTTGCAGGGTCCCCATGTGGATTAAGCCTCAGGTGAATCCCTCCTGACCGTTGACAGGGATGTGAACAGCCTTGCTACCAGACAGACTGCACTGGGAAGTGGATTAATGAGGATGTAGTTAGGTAAAAATTTAGTGCCTCCTCTTTTCTTCTCCTTTTGCATCCATTGTAAACTGGTTCCAGTTTTATTATTTTCTGATTTCTCTTCAATTGAGGTTTTTCTCTCTTTATTTTGTTATTGTTGCGGGTTTGCTTTGCTTTGGGGAGGGGGTGTTTTTCTGTACACGAGATCCAGGATGGGTAAATCGATAGCGATAACAATTGAATTAATCATTTCTTAGCATTACGGCAGGGCAGGTGGGTGGGCCACGGGGTGCTAACAGTACAGAAATGAAGACCACGGTCTAAAGCTGATTGCAGTGAAGATTACACAGATCTTTCTCCAGAGTTGAGCCACAGAATTGTGTGATATGTGAATTAGATGTCAAGAAGATTGCTGAAAAAAAAAAAAAAACACCTTTGAAATAAGTAAAACTGAAAAAAAATAAAGAAATAAGTAAAACTGATGAAATATGTAGGGGGGGCGGGGAGGGGGACAGGAAATTACCCGAATGTTTATGAACAGACAAATGGCTTAGTTCTGGGTCATTCGCCCAGTGAAGCACTACACAGCCATAGCAGTATCACCACCTGGATCCGACTGACGAACACCACTGGGGCAAAAGAAACCTGCCATGACAGAGGACACACTACATGGTCTAGTTACATAAGGTTCAAAACCAGGGAGCCCGACCGTGCATGTGAGGACAGCGGCTTCCTTTGTGGGGGAGGGAGGAAATTGCTGGGGAAGGTGGGGGCGCTCCTCAGATGCTAACAAGGCTCTAGAACAGAGGTGCTCAATCTCAGTACCTTTGACATTTGGGGCGTGTTCATTCTGTGTGGTGGGGCTCGCCGTGCACTGTAGACTGCTGAGCAGCATCCTGAGCCCCTTCCCACTAGACGCCCGCCTTGTCCCCTCCCGCTCCACGCAGCTGTGACCACCCAAGCCTCTCCACACATTCCCGGCTGTCCCTGAGAGTCAAAATCCCCCACCCCCAGGGGAGGAGCTGTGCTTGTCCTGGGTGGAGTTAGGTGTGGGAATCTTACTTTATGAAAATCCACAAAGCTGCCTAGATCCAGTGAGAGGCATCAACGTTTGGGAAGGAATGCTCCATATACAATTAAAAAGCTACGTCTTTCCCAGAAGTCAGTGGCTAACTAGAAGGACCTGAGGGATGGTAGCTCAAGGTGGGCAGAAGGCTGGAGGCCCAAGCTCACCCGAGGACCTTCGAAGGAAGGGCCTGGAGATCTGCTGCTGAAAAAGCATCCATTGAAAACCCTCTGGGGCTCAGCTCTACTGTGACACCGCGAGGTCACCGAGGGTCTAACCCAATCCATCGGCAATCGGGCTTCGGTGTTTTGTTGGACATCTTCTTTGCGATCCAAGGTCACTCAAGATCTCCCGAGGTCCTAAAGGCGCAGCAGAAAGACTTCTGACTCTACCCCCACCCCACTGCGCTTACACAGACTCGCCGTCAAACACAAACAGCCCAGTCAGTCTCCACACTGAGGCCAGGCAGGAGCTCCACTGGCCCTTCGGAACCAGTAACCCCGGTGGGAGCAAGCAGTGCCGGCAGACAGTCTCCTCCAGCACGCTGCAAAGAAAATCGTGAAAACCAACAGCTTGTGCAAACAGGATATTAGCTTTTGTCAGAAAGATCAAAAGGGGCTTGAGGTTTTTCTCTCAGCCGCCTTCGCCTCCCCTCCCTCCCAGTCTCCTCTTTATCTACTGACTCCGGGCTGCAAGGCAACCCTCTCCCACTGTGGCAGGAAGAGATGGCAGCGGGTGAGACGCAGCTCTACGCCAAGGTCTCCAACAAGCTCAAGGGCCGAAGCACCTCCTCGCTCCTGGAGCCTCTGCTGGCCATGGGCTTCCCAGCACACACCGCGTGAGTACCACTGCTGGCACGAGCGCTGGTCCCACCAACCAGCCGGGGAGAGGCTCCTGCTAGCAGGTTCTGGTCCTGGAGCCAGGCCTTAGGCAGCCAGGCCACAGCAAGGGGGGGCAGCTCACAGCACTCACTTCCTGTCTAGGGGGTACACACTGCAGCACGAAATGTCGCCTCAGGGCAAGGCCTTCCCAGCTTTCTGTAGATGAGCGTATCTTTACCTCCTAAGTAGCCACACTGCTGGCTGGCTGGCTGGTGAGGGTCCCCCTGAAATTTGGGGAGATTAGACAGTGACTGTCCCGGTGGCCAACCCCCATCTCAGGCAGGGTTTGGGTGAGCACTGAGCCTGCTCACCATGTGTAGCCCAGAAAGGCTGAAGGGGGCATTTCAAGACGTCTCAGGCACCGGTCCTCAAGCCCCCCACATCTAGGGAGTCTCCAAGGGGAGGGTCGGCGAGTTTGTGTTCTAAACTGTGCGGGGGAAACCCATTCGGAACATCTCTTGGGTGGCGAAGAGTGAAAGGAAACAGTTAAGAAAGGACGGGGCCAAGTGTGGGTGCCCGACCTGCCCAAGGGAGAGGACCTTGGCTCCATTTGGAGAGGGAGGAGACCCCCTAAAGCCACAAGCTCCTCTGTCCTTGTATTGAGTCCAGCTTGTTCAACGGCTCCCTCCAATCTACTTCTTTTGGGGGGATGGTTTGCGGGAGGAACTACGTCGGAGATACACTTTAGGCGACCTGCCGTTTGGGGAAGGGCAGACTTTTCTTCAGCCCTACAACAGACCCCAGGCCGCATTGAATGAAATGACTTCAAACCCAGACCCCTTTCTGATCCCTCACAAGCACGCCTGTGGGCCATTGACAAGGCCCTGGATTCCCTGAGTCCTCTGAGCAGCATCTTTGTTCTTTAGCCCTGGCAGGAGCTCTTGTGCAGCAGATACATTGGCTGGTAGGGTGGGGGGCATTCTAAGGCATCCTGGTGAACCTCTCCAGGCACCCACGTCCCCATCGGTATTTACTGAAATCGCAACATTGATCAGAGAGCGTTCTCCGTACACACTAGCTATTTCCACACTCCATTTCTGAGCAACTTGTGTCTTGGTTAAGGGCCGTCGCATTGGCTCTGTGTCACGGTCACCTGGCGTACCACAGTATGAAAGGTTACCCCATCTGGCACCCTCTTAGTGGCCACGGTCGTGCTGGGGCCCACCGTTGCCGCTGTTCATTGTGTGGTGCCTCCCTAACCAAGCGGCTCATCTTTCAGCGCCATGTTGGACAACGCCCTGTTGCAATCCATGCGGTTTTCCTTAGCTGATTTTCAGAAGTGCACCGCCAGGCCTTTCTCCCTAGCCTGCCTTAGTCCGGGCACTCCGCTGAAACCTGTTCACCCTAGGTGGCCCTGCTGGCATTTGAAATACGGAAAGCTGAGCCTCCGGCATCGCAGCAGCAGGCACGCCATTCACGTGTAACATGCTGACGGATGGATGGTGGCGAAGTAGATGACTCTCGCCATTCCCCACCTTGTTCAGTCTGATCTGGTTCACCGTGGACTGGGTCACAGCCACGAACGATCGCAGCCTTGTCCCGGAGCTCTTGGCCATTTAGGGCAGTGTGCTCAGGAAAGGTCAACGTGATGAGGGTCCCCATGAACATGTATGCGACAGGAAAGAAAGGGTCTTGTTGCTGCCTGCTGCCATCGAGCCAATTCTGACTCCACGGCCACCCAAGTGTGCAGCATAAAACTGATCCTTGGGGCTTTCAAAGCTGCGCATTGTCTTCCAGGAGCCTCCAAGTGGGTTCAAACTCCCAGCCTTCAGTTGGTAGTTGAGCATTTAAATGTGTTCATACCTCCAGCAACCCCCACCCCACCCACGCAGGGTCTCTACAGGCAAGAGAGACAAGCAAGAGGCCTGCACACCACTCTGCCCAGGTGGGGAAGGGAAGGCTTCCCAGAGGAGGTCGTGTTTGAGCTTTGTCTCAGGGTGTTTCTCTGAAGGCAAGGTGAGGTAGTGATGGTTGTCAGCCATCAGGTGGGGTCTGACTCATCACAACCATGGCCCAACAGAACAAGATGTTCTCATGATCGCTGGTTGAGTCACTGTTGCAACCACCGCCAAGGGCCACTTCTGACCAAAGGCTCATTTTTGCTGACCGTCAGCGTTGCTGTGGTGGCTTGCCCGTTGCTGCGATGCTGGAAGCTCTTCTCCTGGTAGTTCTGGAGAAGCTCTAACGGAGCTTCCAAACTCAGACAGACCAGGAGCAACAAAACGAGATCTACTCCCAAAAGACCAGAGATGAAACCGTATGGCTCACAAGAGGACATCAAGACGGGGCTCTTTGGGGTAGAAAACGCATTGCAAAGGCCAGAAATGTGCCCTAGCAGGTGAACTCCAGGGCCCACAAGTAGGTCCATGTTACTTTGAGACATGGAGTATGGAGAAGAATGGGGAGACAGACAGGATGATAGGAGTGGACAGAGGCCAGGGCTCCAGGCCCCGGGTACCATGTGAAGAATCTAGGTAGGGAATCAGAGAAGGAAAATGACCAAGGAGTGAGGTGAGCAGGTTTGTGTTTCCAAGAGGGCACGAGGGTGGCCCACGGAAGATGGAGACCCGGGCACAGGTGCTCCAGTTGTAGCCATCTGGTGGCCTAGGCCTCCTGGGAACACACGGAGGTCCGACGTGCCAAAGGGCCAGCCCGGCTGCTCTTGCCCTGTCTCACAGACAGCAGATGGCTCTGAGTGGCCCTGTGTTGTGTGCTTTCTACAGGCTCAAAGCGCTGGCAGCTACCGGCAGGAAGACGGCAGAAGAGGCATTGCATTGGTGAGTGGAGCTGGGTTTGCAGACCTGGGGAGTGTTTTTCCTGAGCTGCCCTGGAGGGAGTGGGACTTGCCCTGGCTGTCCAGGGTGGAGCTGAGAAGTGCCCAGTGCCCTCTGGGCAGCATTGAGGGGAGGAGGCACTGTGAAAATAAAACAGACTGATCACCTCCTCTCCTCACCGGGCACACAGGGAAGAAACTCGAAAAGGGAGCCCTCACTTTAAGAAGGGGAAACGAACTTGGAGCACAGCTGCCTTCAGCTAAGAACCTCATTCCGTCCTCAAGCTGTGTGTCAAAGAAGAGAAACGCTCAGAGTAATTAGGAATGCAACATAAGAGTGGGCTCCAGAACCCTAAAGAACCCTGATGGGGAGAAGGTTCACTCAACGGAGTGAATCCCCGGAGACTTTCCCCCTTTAAATTCCCACTATGGGGGAGTGGGGTGAGGGGTGAAGGGCTCTGGGGTCCAGACAGCTCCTATGCCCTGAACCCACTGTAAGCCTCAATGCGGCACACTCACTGTCCGCCCAGCCTCACAGTCACCGGTCGATGCTGACTCATAGCAGGTGATGTTGACTCATAGCAGCGCTTCCCCTGTGAGTTTCCAAGACCTGGCAGGAGCAGAAAGCAGCGTCATTGTCCCAACTTGCCGGTGGTGGTTTCAAACTGCTGACCTTGTGGTTAGTAGCCCAATGCACAACCACAGTGCAGGTAGGGTCACAGGTCTCTGTTTCCTGAAAGCTCAATGCGCCACCAATGTCACGCCTCTCGCTGCAGGGATTCCCTGGATGGGAGCTCCACCCCCACCCCCACCCCCCCACCCCCGTAGTGGGATGTTGTTGTTGTTCTTGTTGTTGCCATGGTTGTCAGTTGCTGTCGGCCAATGCCACCTCATGGTGACCTCCTATGTGCAGAGGAGAGCCGCCCCATTGGGGTCTCAGCCGCTGGAACCCTTCTGAAGCAGACCACCAGGAGTCTCCTTGGAGGCACCACTGCTTGGGTCCAAACCTCCACATGCTGGCCCATGTGCCACACCCGGGGCATCTAATCCTGAGATATCCACCTGGAAATCAAATGCTCCAAGCCAGGCCCCACGGTCCGGAAGAGGTGAAATCATAGAGCTGTGATGAGGAAGGGGAGGGGGAACAGGTGGAGCCTGGAGCATTTTGAGGACGGTGGGACTCTGGCACGTTCCTGCCATGGCGGCGTGCACACCATGCGTTTGGCCAAGCCCATCGTCCTGTGCAGCACCAGGAGGGGGGCGATCGTGAACGGAGGACTCGGTTAATCATGACGCATGTGCTCACTAATCGTGATAAGTGTGCACTAGCGATGCCTTCCACTGACCCACAGCAATCCAGCAGGGCAGAAAGAGGAGGAAGGCTCCCCTGGCTGTCATTTCTGTGGAAGCACTGCCACAACGTCTCTCAAAGACCGGCTGGTGGGTTTGAACTCCTGACTTCTCGCTTAGCACCCAGCTACTCAACTGCATCTCCGCTGGCAGTGCCTTATACCAGTGTGTCAATAATACATGTTAACGATAACTTGTTGATGACATTAAGCATGCTAGGAACAGGCACTCGATGCAGAGGAAGCCTGGGACCTGAAGATGCTCTACATCTGTGGCACATGTTTTCTGTCCACCTAACATGGCTCAAAACAGTCATCTATTTTTTTCAATGATATATCAGACCCCACAAAGACACTTCCCGAGCAGGATGGCAGATACTGATAATGAGTCTCAAGGGTCTAGTGTATTCTCAGTGGGGACCCCTCCCTCCGAAAAACTCTGAGCCGGGGATATCAAGGCAACAGCCAAAGCAGCAGGACCCCCGAAGGGCAAAGGGACATGCCCAGAACCCTGCCGGGCTCTAACTCTAGAGCCAGTGGTGATTCTAATTGGAAGGCGAACCTACTGCTGTGAGGGATGTGGTGGCGCCTGCCAACGCCATTGATTACCAAGTAGACGAGAAGACCCTCCAAAGCCCAGGAGACTGGGGCCCCGAATTCAGACAAGGACAGAGCCAGCCTCGAGGTTGGGAAGGAGGGAAGTGCAGACGGAGACACAGTGAGGCATGTCCCAGGGCGTGTACGTGCAGTTAGGACGCATGCTCTGCGGCCCCGCTAGTGGCTCTCACCTGACAGAGAGGCCAGGGCGTTGCCCCTCTGGGAAACGAGGGCCACGTTCAGGTAAGGCAGATGCAGCGCTCGGCAGGCCCATTACCCTGAGTGACTGCATTGCTGCTGCTTGCCTGGTGGGAGGAGAAGGTATTTATATTATTGTCACGAGGCCGGGTGACGGTGGCCCGTTTCGTTGTTGCAGGCTACACTGCCACTGCAACGACCCTTCTCTGGACGACCCCATCCCTCAGGAGTACGCCCTCTTCCTCTGTCCCACGGGGCCCCTGCTGGAAAAGCTGCAGGAGTTCTGGAGAGAGAGCAGACGCCAGTGCACCAGGAACAAAGCCCACGAGATCTTCCCCCACATTACGCTCTGCGACTTCTTCACGGTGAGTCAGCCCGTCCTGCTCAGCAGGGGGCCGTGGCTCTGCGGTGATGCTAGGATATGACAGGGCTAGAGGGGGGAGCAGCCGCGTGGCCTATCTTCATGGGATGGCCGCTCCTCACTGAGCAACTCCTACTCATCCTTCAGGGTCCAACTCATGTATCCCCTCCTGTCACATCTGCCCCAGCCCTCGGCCAGGCAGAAGGACTTGTGTGTTGCCTTGCGTTCCTCTTCTCATTCCACCTTTTCTTGCAACGTGTCTGCAGCTCTGCAGCCTTCCGCACACCGGGTTTGTCAAGGGAAGGTGGGTCTGCGTAGCCTTGTGCTCACATAGGAGAAAGGATGGCTAGTCTCCGGACACAAAGGCAGGACGGTTCCCTTGCCCAGGGAACAAAGCACCCACAGCTTTATCGGGGGCCTGGGAGCATGTGAAGGGCCTGGAGAAGCTCAAAGGATTCTGAGAGCCATTTCCTCTGGGGACCCCACTTGGGGAATCTGGAGAAGGGCAGACCCAGTTTCCATGACACCCTGGCCTGGCCCTGCCTCAGCCACCAGGCCCGGAAGACCAACTGGTTTCACACAATTCACAGACCCCCAGGAACTCCTGGTCCACCTGACATCGAGTCTCCTCCGCAGGGAGGGGCGGTGCTCTGCAATAGAAAGTTCCTAGGATGTCGCAGGGTGAAGGAGGCAGGTGGGGGTTCCTCTTGCAGCCTGTGACACAGCCAAATCCAGGAAGTGAGACACACGTTTAGAAACCAGGCTTGCTCAATCACAGCCATGAGAGAGCAGACGGCAGCCTCCGAGCTCCCTTCCCTGGCCCAGCAAGTGCATGAGCACACGGAGACAGGGATGCACAGAGACAGAGGTATACACACTGCATTCACACATGCATGTGTGTACATGCAGAGAGAGACACATGGAGACAGGGACACACAGAGGCAGAGGTACACACACTGCATCTACACATACATGTGTGTACACATACATAATCACACACAGACACATGGATACAGGGACACACAGAGGCAGAGGTACGCACACTGAATGCACACATACATGCATGTAAACACACACAGACACACGGAGACAGAGACACGCAGAGACAGAGGTACCTATACCACATGCACACATGCATATGTGTACATACACACACACATGCACAGAGACACATGGCCAGATACATAGAGAGACACACAGACACACACAAGCTCACAGACACAGCCCCTCACCGCCCTTCCTTTGGGGTAGCTCCTCCCTCCTGCTATCCTTAGTTGAGGGGCCCTTTCTGGGAAGAAGGTAATAGAGACTCCCTCTATGTCTTGCTACTGTAAAATGCAATCGTCAGCCACCACACAGCAAAAATTCAAGGTGGGCACATTCACAGTGGAGGTCACTCTCTGACAGGGTGTTCCTGGGCAACCTGGGGCTAAAACACCCAGAGACCAGGATGGATGTTGTGAGCTGCCGGTCCCAACAGACAAGACATTAGGAACTCCCTGGGGCTTTTCTATTGCCCAGGAGGGGTCCTGTGGGGAATTCCAAAGAGAGCCCCTTGGCAGGGTAAAGCAGGGGCCGGTCCATTTCCTGTTGGGGACAAGGGTGGGGCAGGGAAGGTCCTGCCTGGGTTTTCATAGGGAGTTGAGGAATGTCCTCAAGCCCAGGAGTGACTCCAGCCAGTCCAACTTCAATGAGAGTGGGGAGACAGAGGATCCAAGGGGGTAGGGGGTGGTGCTGGGTCGCTCCCCGGGTCCTGGGCAGATGAGGCTGAATTCTCAGGTGGCAGAGAACTCCTGCTGCTTCAAGGTGAAGGTGGCATGGACAGGACCCCACAGGAAGAGTGAAGAAGCAAGGTGTGTGTGGTGCAGGGGACCCAGTCTAAGTCTGGGCTGGTTCTAGACTCTCCAAGAACAGACACGAATGCAAGAGAGGTGTAGAGACATATTTGAGAGAATCAGCCATGGCGGATTAAAAACGGCACCCAACCGCACTGCCACTGACTGGTATCTGACTCAGAGTGACCCTTTGCAGGGGTTCCAGGCCGGTAACGCTTTATGGGAGGTGATGGCCTCAGCTTTCTCTCCTGGAGCAGCTGATGAGTTTGAACCGCTGACCTAGGAGGCGAACACTTGGGGGGCAGCCCCACCAGGGATCCTTGTGAAGGCTAGGGAGGAGAAAAAGGAAACGGCGAACACAGGCAGAGATGTGCACGGAGGAGATGGCAGCCTGCAGTCCTTCCTGGGGACCTCTCCCTGCAGCGAAGGATGTCTGCATCCATTCAGGTGGAGGAACCGCTGGCTCTGGTGCCCCGCCGTGCACCTTCTGTGAGTGCTGTGGCCATACTGGGAGTGCCGGCAGACTACTCCTCACTGTGCGTTCTGAGCAGGGCACCTCCATCAGTCAGAATCTACTAGAAATGTCTAGACGGGGAATAACGAAATTCTGAACAGCGCCGTAGACCAATGGAACGGAGAAGGGGAGTTCGATCCAAGGCGGGAGGCAGGGTTGTGTCCACACCACTTGGAGGCAGAAGATGTAGGTAGCGTGGCAGGAAGGTTCCCAAGTTGGGTAGTTAAAGGATGGTCTACTTATGAAATACGCTTACCTCGCTGGTCTAAATGACCAAGCACCGGCAGAAAACAAATTCACAAATACAAGCTAGATACGTTTGCAAGCTGCTTTGACACTGGAAACTAAACTATCAGCCGTTCAAGTACCAGCAGGGTCAGCCAGGAGGACAAGTCCCAGCAGAGCTTCCAAACTCAGACAGACTAGAAAGAAAGGCCCAGGGAGCTATGTCTGCAAAGCTTTAAAAACTCACCACCGTTGATGACTCAAAGCATTCCTACAGAACAGGGTAGAACTGCCCCCCCCCCCTGAGTTTCTGAAACCATCACTTCCTATGAGAGTGGAAAGCCCCGTGTTTCTCCCACAGAGCGGCTAGTGGTTTTGAACTGCTGAAAATGAGCCAAGGAAAATCCTTTGGATCCCAACAGAATACGTCCAGTAAAACCAAACTCACCGCCACTGGGTCTATGCTGACTCATAGTGACCCCCTAGGACAGGGTAGAAGTGCCCCCTGTGAGTTTCTGAGACGGTAACTCTCACCCAGCGTAGAAAGTCCTATCTATCTATCTATCTTCCTCCCTCAGAGGATCACATCCCAAGACTTACACCTATGCCACCATGGCTCCCTTAGGGGGCTTCAAGAAGTTCATGGAAAAAATGCAATGAAAACCCATGGACTCTGTATGCAAACTTTGAGGCCCTGGGTTGGAAAATCCCTCAACCAAGCTCACTGCCATCGGGTAGATTGTGACTCAGCCACAGAATGGAACTGCCCCTTGGGGGTTCGGAGCTCTTAAATCTTTATGGGAGCAGATGGGCTCATCCTTCTTCTGCAGAGTGGCTTGGAACCACTGACCTTGACGTTAGCAGATGAAGGCCACCAGGGATCCTAGGTTGCAAGGCACTCAAAATAGACAGGGACCTCAACAATGGGCCAAAGTGAGACACCAGTCATCATGGCAGTCCAGGACCAGGCAGCAATTCATTCTGCTGTGCAGGGGGTAGGAGCCCCGGTGGTGTAGTGGCTACCAATTGGGCTCTGATCTGAGTGGTTGACAGTTCAACACCACCAGCAGCTCGGTGGGAGCAACTGAGAGCAGCATTGTATCACAGGGAGCAGAAACGCGCCTCACGTGGGTTACTCTCTAATTTTCCTTTATTTAGCTAAATAGACGGCTTCCTAAGAGTCAGGAAAGCAGCTTCTCTGTCTCTTCCACCAGTGTGAAGATCACAAAGTGGAATGCCTGTACGAGGCGCTGAAGAGAGCAGGGGACCAGGTCCTGGGCTCCTTCCCCACCACAGTTCCACTGGTCCTGCACTCCTCCGTCAGCTACCTGGGCTTCTTCCTCAATGACAGCCCCGCAGATGTCATCCGGGAATTCGCCATGGCGTTCGCCACGGAAGCATCCATCTTAGCAGGTACTCTCAGCCAACTTCAGCGCAGCGGGTCGATTCTGCGTAGCAAAGGGGCCTGGCTGTTCTTTCAGGGCTGGGGGCTGCCCGAGCTGTGGGGCTCAGTCCAGCCAGCTGCTAGAGTTCATTGAGGCTGAACCGTGCAGCCGCCTCCTCATCGATGAGCCCTCTCAAAGGAGCCAGTTCTTCCAGAATGTAAGTGGATGGGTAGATTCTGAGAACCCATGGGCTCCTTTCTTGACATAGGAAGAGCGCCCTTGCTATTGATGTGGTTTTTCAGTGGGCTCGCTATATTCCAGCTGCCTGGGAAACGGTCTCAGAGGGGTCTCCCAGGCACTGAGCATGAGCGCCTGTGGAGATGGTGCTGGGGGGGAGATGCCGATGTGCTCACAGAGGGTCCAGGCTCCCCCAGCCCCACTCCCCACGAGCATCTCTCCCCAGGAGGTCGGCACTGAGGGGAAACACAGTTCTTCGTTTGGCTGGGCATCCCCAGGGTGATGCAAAAAAAAAAGTACATGCCACAGGCACCTCAGAAGAAATGCCTGGAGACCTACATCTGAAAACTCAGTCCTTAAAACCCGGTGGAGCCCAGCTGTCCTCTGAGCACAAGAGGCCACCAGGCACTGTAATGGATTCTGAGACTACCCATTGTTTAGACTGCCTTGGAGGGGGTGTGAGCTTAGCCTCTCTCTCCTTGACCTCTTGGGAGAAAGGCTATCTAGCTGCACTCGGAAGCTCTACACATTGCCTTCTCTGCAAACACCAGAGGCCGGAACTACAGCTGGGTTGAGTGGAAAGCGTTCCAGGCCTGACACCAGAAGATTCCGGTTTGATTCCTTCTTGGTCTCTGTCCGTGGTGTGTTGCCTTTAATGGAGCATTTCCCCTCCTGGACTTCTCGTCCTTCTCCACAGATGGTGTGGGCTCTGGCTCTCCTATAAACCACGCCATCGTGGGTGGGATAGCCGACCATGGTCCCTGCACACGGAGGACCCCGTAGTGTCATGATTTGCTGAGCCTTCCAGGGGCTGTGGTCCCCTGGTCAGCAGGCCCCTCTCGGTCGCCACCCCTGTCCAGTGTTTGGGCCGCCCCTGTCCTCAGATGGTACATTTGGTTTGCTGCTGGGAGGCTGCGCCATCGGTGTGGGCATCATATTTTCTGAATGTCTTCGCCTCTGACTGCTGCTATCCCACAAACACTACCCGTGAGTGGTTTTAAAGAACAGAAACGTGTTGCCTCACCATCCGAAAGGCCAGAAGTCCACATCCAGAGTGCAGCTACAGGGAGGGCCCTTCGCTGTGGGTTTTAGCTTCTGGTCAGCGCTGGCAGTCCCGGAGCCCTGGGGCTTTGGAGCCGCATGCTGCTATGCACGTGCCTGTCTCCAGCTGGCAGCTTCCACCTGTGTCTACACTGATCTTTTTATAACTAAGGAGAGATTCAGTTTAGGATCCATGCTGCTGGCCCAAAGGCTAGTGACTCAAACCACCATCCACTCTGCAGGGAAGAGACGTGGGTGGCTGCTTTTGTAAAGATGTACCACACCTGAAACCCTGTCCTAGAGGGTCGCTGGGCATCAGAACTGACTGGATGACCAGATGACCACGGGTTTGGCTCTGGGGGTATCACCTCATTAGCATAACAGGAAGTGGTCCTTCCAAACAGGACTGGATGTACGTGTTTTCACTGTTAAGTCAATGCTGACTCACGGCCACCCTCTAGGACAGGGCAGACCGCCCTTGTGGGTTCCTGAGACTAACTCTTTACAGAAGTAGAAAGCCTCCTCTTTCTCCCACGGGCCAGTCTGTGGTTTCGAACTGCTGACCTTTAGGTTAGCAGCCAGCCCAACTTGAAACCCAAAGCGCCCCCGCGCTCCTCCATCAGTACTGGGGCCACGATATCAACATCTATTTGGCGAGACACAATTGAATCCTCAACACTGAGTAACTATAGAGACACCACATTTCCATGTAGATGAGGCTCCACTCTGTAAACACCGGTTGACACGGCTTCTTATTTCACTTCTTCAACTCTAAAAGCAGGGGATTCTGGTCCTGACGCAATGGGCCTGAGTAGCCCTGGCACATCACATCCTCGTCACACCCCTCCACTCAACACTGGCTCTGTTGTTGTTCCAAAAACCTTACTGCCATCGAGTCAAATCCAACTCAGAGCGACCCGATAGGATAGGGTGGATCTGCCCCTGTGGGTTTCTGAGTGTGTCACTCTTCACAGGAGTAGAAAGCCCATCTTTCTCCCAAGGAGTGGCTGGTGGTTTCCAACCGCTGACCTCTTGGTTAGCGGCCTAACCCCTGGTGTCGTCAAATCAGACTCTATATACTGAACCAAACACGGCCCGGCCCTGGGCTATCCTCACCACTGTTATGCCTAAGCCTACTGCGGCAACCACGGTGTTCAATAGTCTCAGGCAGCCTTGTCCTCTTCTCGGCTGCCCTTGCATTTGACCTAGCACAAAGTCCTTTTCTGGTCTCTCCCAATAACCTCCGTTGGGTGGAATCGGCCCCATTTTACAGATGGAGAGAGTAAGGCTGTGGGGGGGAGGTGCAAATGAGTCTAACCTTATTTTCGCTTGGTCCGCACTGTCTGGGTTTCATGCTGACCAGCCTGCTTCCTGAGAGAACTGGCATAGGCCTCGTTCCTTGACCCTGAGCTGGCTCCACCCCACCCTCCCCTCGGGGTCGGTGCCCTTGGCCTGACACAGAGGGCTCAGGATGGGCCTCCCCTGGCGGTACTCACTGTGGACACTCGGCTCTGGGAGGGGGAGTGTCCAATTCCAGATATGTGGGTGAGGCCCTCTGACCAGGCTGGCCCTCCCCAGGGAGAGCAGGCACGTAGAAGTCAAGATCCATTCCAAAGTCAACGTGACTCGGCCACTGTTCCGTGGACAACCACTGTGGGTCTTTCCCAGGCGGGCTGAATCACATGTGGGGCCTGCCCTCACCCCACGCTGAAAATGGAAAGGAAGGAATTTCCCACCACCTACGCACTGTGCCCTGCCATGTCCCCACCCACCCCCAGCACCCCAGCACCGAGGCTCACTCACGTGGAGGACTTAACAGCCCCCCAAGCATCTGCCAAGAGGTGCGCCCACCCAGGGGTATTTGAGCTAACCCTGGCATCTCCTAAGAGCTGAGAGGGTCCTGTTTGTCGATTTTGTAGGTGACTTACCCGAGGGAGAGGTGACAGGGAGCTAGTGCTGACTGAGAGACCTCTCAAGCTGACAAATCAAGGGGTATACTGCTCCCACAGCCCCAACGGGCAGTAGTCAGTCGCTGCGCATCACTGCTGGGGAAACTTAGGCTGTGTTGGTCCAAAATGCTCACCCTGGTCACCCAGCCAAACTGGACAGAACCACATCTAAATGCCAGGTCTACCCGATACCAAAGCCTGCACTGTTTCTGTGAAAACACCACCTCCCAGAACATAGACTACTTTGTGTCTGACTGAAATCAGACCCCAGCGCTTAGGTGAGGCCCGCGGAGGCGGGGCGGAGGCCACCCAGAGAGGCACCCGGTGTTGATAAAGAAGAGAGACTTGGTTAAAGGCACACTGCAAACAGAGACCGAGAAGAAGTCCAACCCAGGTCTTCAGATGTCAAGTCTAGAATTCTCTCCACTAGAGCCAGCAGTAGCCCGGCCCGTAGAGCAAGGCTGGTGTTTGCAGAAAAGGAGTTTCAGGGATTCTCAGAGTGCGTGTAGAGACACATTGCCTTCTACGGCGTTTTCTCCGTAGCTGGACAAAATACCAGGGAACCAGAACATGAGCCTGAGACTCCAGACCTCTGAGTCATCTCCACACCCTAGAGCACACCCGAGACCTGTGGGTCTCGACCCCTTTGGGGAGTGGTTCTCAACCCCCTCCTCTTCCCTCAAACTCAAAAAACAATCTCGCTGACATCAGGTGCATTCTGACTCATAGCGATGCAATAGGACAGGTTAGAACTGCCCCTGTGGTTTCCCAGATGGTAACTTTTTAGGGGAGTAGAAAACCCCATCTTTCTCCCATGGAGCAGCTGGTGGTTTCAAACCTCAGACCTTGCTGTCAGCAGCCCAACTCGTAACCACTACACCAGGGAAGAGACAATCGTTTAACAGGCTGGCCAGTAAAGGAAAGGGCGTTTTTTTTCATTTTGTGTGTTTCAATCATTTGTTTGGACCAATAACTTGCAAGTGGATGGTTCCCGAAGACCCTAAACCCACGTCTCTACATCCTTCTTGTGTTAGTCCAAGGAGACTAGAGCACAAATTCAGGGAGACTCGTGTGTGTGTAAGACAACTTTCTATCCAAGAGCAATTGTATATAGAGAAAACATCCCAGCCCAGCACAGATCAAGTCCAAAAGTCTGATATTAGCCTATATGTCCGATTCCAATCTATAAATTCCTCTTCAGACTCATGCAACACATGCAATGACGCTGAATGCAGGAAGATCACAGGTTACTGGGTGTGAAGTCTTGTGGATCCAGTGGCAGTAGAAGCATCTCAGCGCTGGCAGAGGTCTCCACGTGGCTCCTCCAGCTCCAGTGCTCTAGCATAGCTCCATGTTTCTTATCCACAGGAAAGTCTCACAGGGAGTGAGTGTGTATCTGGCCTCCAGTGAGCTATTTATCTCCGTTGCGCCTCCAAATGAGGTCATTAAGCTTCGACCTGATTGACAGGCTAGACTCCACCCCTTGGCAAGTTGATGGGAGGTTATAGAACTGCTCTGCCCTACTTCCTCATGAAACTGTAGGTCGTGAGCCATCTCCTTTTATCCACAAGGGAAGTTCTCCCTGTCCCAGAGGATGTGGGTTCTCTAAAATGGAAGAGCAATGGGGAGAGCCCTCCGCTATGAACCCAACGGGCCTCAGAAGAAACGCGTGGCAATGTGCGTCTGAAAGAAAGACAAAAACACATTAAAGCTCAGTCATTGAAAACTACGGAGCACAGATCCACTCTGACATGGGTGGGGTCCCCGGGTATGGTAGCCCAGGTAGACTAGAGAAACAAATTCATGGACACTCATATGTACATAAGAGAGGTTTATACACAAGAGCAGTTGAATACTGAGAAAACACCCCAGCCCAGTCCAGATCAAGTCCATAAGTCCGATATTAGCCCATATGTCCGATGCCAATCTATAAAGTCCTCTTCAGACTCACAAAACACATGCAATGACGCCGAATGCAGGAAGATCACAGGCCAGTGGGTTGGAGGTCTTCTGGATCCAGTGGCGTTGTAAGCATCTCAGCACTGGCAGGGGTCTCTGCGTGACTTCTCCAGGTCTAGGGTTGTGGCTGCATCAGGGTAGGTCTATGTGGCTTCTCCTCAGGGATGGCTCACAGGGAGTGCGTCGAGGGAGTGTGTCTTCCACCTCCAAAGGGGAAATACCAGGGTTTTTTCCCCCAAATTCCTCAGGGGAAAGGCCATGCCCACAGAGGCCTCATTGGCTGTGACCCGACTGACAGACTAAACTCCATCCCTTCACTCGTAATCCTCTCAAGTCCCAAACTGACACCAGAGTATGTAACTACCACCCCAAGGTCAAGTCAGCTCCACTGCAAAACTGACTTTAAAGACCCTGGAACCACCTGAGTCCCTGCTCTTCTCTGATGTTCCTGTAAAATCCTCAAGTCTTTAGCCCTCTCTTCTTTTTTTTTTTCTTTAACATGCTATTACATATTTACTTACTTATTTTCGATTGCACGCATTTATTTCACAATGGAGTTTTGCACAATGCTAAGAGCACTTCTCTTCATATTTCACAGGAGAGCTTGAAACAATATGAACTTCAAATCAATGGCCATCCCAGAACACATCCAAATCTAACCTAAGTGGAAACATGACAATTTGTTCAAAGTTTAAAGGCTTAAGGGCAATAATCAAAGGAGGCAGAGAATTAGGTGTCCTTTCCATAACTGACTGGAAAATACATTCAAAACACAACAAATACACTTTAATTTATTATGTGCCTCATGTGCCCAGAGGGAGGGGGTGCCTGATTGGGAGGTAGCCCTCTCTTATTATCAGGTGAACCCTAAAAGAGAAGCCAGGCCTTTGCCCTTGTCCAGGGCATGCAGTGCAGTGGGCGTGGGAGAGTAGAGGCCCAGGCAGAGACCACGTGTTGTGTCATTGCTGGTGCTGCACCTGATGGGCAGTGATGACTGGGTAGGTGACAGTCCCCTGCCCTCCTTGTGTCTTCCCGACCTAACAGACTGCAGTGTGAAGCCCTGCACCAAGCAGCTGCACCTCACGCTGGCCCACAAGTTCTACCCCCACCACCAGAGGACCCTGGAGCAGCTGGCCAGAGCCATCCCGCCAGGCCCCGGCTGCCAGTGGACAGCCGCACTGTACTCCAGAGACATGCGCTTTGTACACTACCAGGTGAGTGACCCGGCCCGGGCCCTCAGAGAGACCCCGGAGTCAGTGCGATTAGGAAGGCTCCTCCTGAAGGACTGTCACCCAGCAGAGTTCTTACCCTGGGGGCTTTCTGCTGGGGTGTCTTTACAGGAGTTGTTGGTGTTCGATACCGTGGAAACGGTCCCCATGCACAGAAGCCCTACGAGCCACAGAACAAAGTACTGCCCCCTCCTGGGCGTCCTCACAATTGCTCTCAGGTTGGAGCTCACGGTTGTAGCCACCGTGTCAATCCATCTTGCCAAAAGTCTCTGCCTTTTCCGCTGCCCCGCTGTTTGACCAAGCATGATGTTCCTCTCTGGGGGCTGGTCTCTCCTGACAACATGCCCAAAGGGCATGAGACAAGGGTCGCTATCCTGGCTTCTGAGGAGCTTGATGGCTGGACTTCTTCTAAGGCAGATTTCTTTGTTACTTTGGCAGTCCGCAGCACTTTCAGGAGTCTTCGCCAGCACCATATTGCAAATGCGCTGATTCTTCTCTGGTCCTCAAAGTCGTCAGACTTATTCAAAGTCCGCCTTTCATGTGCATATAAGGCCATGGAAAAGACCATGGCTTGGGTCAGGCCCACCTTAGTCCTCAAAGCAGCATCCTTGCTTTTCAATATGTCAAATAGTTCTTGGGCAGCAGATTTACCTAATGCAACACATCTTTCTATCTCTTGGCTGCTGTTTCCCTGAGCATGGATTGTGGACCCAAGCAACCTTTCATTTCAAACGTTTTCCCATCTACCATGATGTTTCCCTGGGGTCCAGTTGTGAGTTGGGGTCTTCTTTACACGGAGTTGTCATCCACACTGAAGGCTGCCATCCTTGACCTTCGTCAGCTAGGGCTTCAAGTCCTCCTCACTTTGAGCAAGCAAGGGGGTGTCACCTGCGTGTCCCAGGTTGTTCTTAACCTCCCTCCAATCCTGAGACCACACCCAGCTTCTCTGATGATTTGCTCAGCAAAGAGATTGGATAAGAATGGTGAGAGGATGCAACCCTGACGCACACCTTTCCTGATTTGAAACTGTGCCACATGCCCTTGTTCTGTTTGCACAGCTGCCTCTGGGTCCATGTATAGGTTCTACAGGAGCACCATGTATTTTTCTGGGATTTCTGCTTTCTCAAGGCTATGCATACTTTGTTTTAGTCCACACAGTCCAGTGTCTTCCTTAGCACAGCCCGTAAGACATACGTGAACATCTTTCTGGGGTTCTCTGCTTCATTCTGATCCAGCAGATGTCAGCAATGATATCCCTTGCTCCAAGTCTTCTGAATCAGCCCTGAGCCTCTCTAACAGACAGAACTTCTCTTCCTTCTCTAAAATCCTGTGCCATTTGGAACAAGTGTTGTGTTACACAAAGGTCCCTGGGTGCTACAAACAGTTTGTGCTCAACTACCAACCAAGAGGTTGGCAGTTCAAACCCATGGTTTTTACTGTTCTTAAAGCTACCCAGTTTATCTTTCAATCTGCCCAAATAATTCTATATTGTATTTTGTTATATTCCATGGTCTATGTTATTAGACAAAGCATGCCTCCTATGGACCAGGGGGTCTAGAACATAATATCCAGGAGTCTAGTCCTGGAGACAGACCAGAGCCAGAATGTAAGTGGGGCTGGAAGTGCTACGTCACGGTGGTTCCGTGTCGCATGGAGGAGACCTGGGTTCATTTCCCAGCCAGTGCACATCATGAGCAGCTACTGCCTCCCTGTTCATGGAGGCTTATGCGTTACTATGATGCCGAATGAATTTCCGCTGCATTTCCAGGCTAAGACAGGCTAGGGAGAAAGACCTGGTAGCCTACTTCCCCCAAAATCAGGGAATAAAAATGCTGTTGAGCACAACAAGTCTAACCCAGAGTATCACAGGGCTGGCACAGGCCGGGATGCAGCCCAGCTCATGGGGCACGGAGCCGCCATGAATCAGGGGCCGTCCCGACAGCAGCTAGCACGGCAATTGCTATCATTTCCCAATGCACATCTGTGCTTGACACATAAAAGGGCTGTTCCTGTTTTCTAGACCTTGAAGGCCCTGTTCCAGTATAAACCTCAGAACGTGGATGAGCTGATACTAAACCCTGGCGACCACATCTTTGTGGACCCCAGCCAGCAGGAGGAAGCCAGTGAAGGCTGGGTGATTGGGATCTCCCGGCGCACGGGCTGCCGGGGCTTCCTGCCGGAGAACTACACCGAGCGAGCCAGTGAGGCTGACACCTGGGTGAAGCACAGGTGAGTGCCATCGGAGCCCTGTGGCATAGTGGTTCGATGTGCTGCAGCCAGAAATGTGCACTGTCCAAAACACTAGCTGCTCCACAGGAGAAAGTCGGGGATTTCTACTGCTGTTAATAGTCACAGTCTTGGAAACTCATGGGGGCAGTTCTACCCTGTCCTGTAGGGTCGCTATGAGTCTGCTTTGGCCCAATGGCGGTGAGTTTGGTTTGGGGGAGACCAGTGGTTCCCAAAGTGGGTGATGTTGCCCCCTGCGGGTGATAAAAGGGTTGGGGGGGGCGTAGATTGTGGGACTGCAAACGCATACACCTACACTTCTGAAAAGAGGGCAAGCCCACACAGGGTGCGATATAGCAACGATGAAAAATACAACTTTCCTCTAGTTCCTAAATGCTTCCTTCCTCCCCCCGACCCCCACTATCATGATCTACCTTGAAAGTCTGGCTAGACCAGAGGCTGCACACTGGTACAGATAGGAACTGGAAACACGGGGAATCCAGGGCGGATGATCCCTTCAGGACCAGTGGTGTGAGTGGCAATACTGGGAGGGTAGAGGGAGAGTGGGTAGGAAAGAGGGAACCGATTACAAGGATCTGTCTGTGACCTCCTCCCTGGGGCACGGACAACCGAAAAGTGGGTGAAGGGAGACGTCGGACAGGGCAAGATATGACAAAATAATAATTTATAAATTATCAAGGGTTCATGAGGAGGGGAGCAGGGAGGGGAAAAATGAGGACCTGATGCCGGGGGCTTAGGTGGAGAGCAAATGTTTTGAGAATGATGAGGGCAATGAATGTACAAATGTGCTTTACACAATTGATGTGTGTATGGATTGTGATAAGAGTCGTATGAGCCCCTAATAAAATGATTTTTAAAAAAAGAGGGCAAGCCCAATCAAACTCACTGTTAGAGAATTGATACAGATTCATAGCAGCCCTATAGCATAGGAGTTAGGTATTGGGCTGCGAACGGCAGGTCAGCAATTTGAAACCACTGGCCCCTCCTTGGGAGAAGGATGAGACTGTCTACTCCTGCAAAGAGTTATGGTCCTGGAAACCCACAGGGGCTGCTCTGCTCTGTCCTAGAGGGTTACTATGAATGAAAAGGGGGCAGCAGGCCAAATCAGTTTTGGAACTTAGGAGCATGTTCTAGACCAGGGGTGGCAAACTGCGGTTCGAGATCTATATGCGGCTCTTTCGGTGTGGACGTGTGGCGCTGAAGTAAAATTGAAGAAACGTTAAAGGATATTATTCAGACCATGGAGATTTCATTTGCTTGTAAAAACATACTCATGGCTTTTGAATAATTTTTAAATGATTGTGAGAGACAGGACTTGATCTTCTGTCTCAAACATTTGCCGAGCCCTGGTCTAGCCTCTCCCACCATCAGTAACACGTGTACAGTCGGTGATGGCCAAATACTCCCTGCAGGTTTATATCTCGACGGTTTGTGGTTTTCTGCTGACACATCCAGAAAACATAAATGCCTCCACATTGCTTTTCTGAGATAACAATCTGAAAAGGACTTCAGCCCCCCCCACACCCCACTTCCTTATTATGCACATAGGAGAATACCTGGAGGTCTTCTCAGGAGAGGTCAGTCCCTGGAGGAGGACATCATGCGTGGTACAGTGGAGGGGCAGAGAAAACGAAGACAACCCTCCACGACTGACCTGTGGCTGCAGCGATGGGGTCAAACAGAAGAGCAGGGTGAGGCTGGCACAGGCCTGGGCAGGGCTTTGTTCTGTGGTCGACAGAACAGGGTTGCAATGAGTTACAACCAATTCATCGGCACCTAAAAGCCAAATACGATCATCTGCCCTCAGCTGGGGCTTGTTGGTTCTTCAATGGTAGCATGGCCAGTGTACAACCTGTAATGTCCTGAAGTATGTATCAATCGATTAAAAACTACAAAATGAAAGTTATTCAATAAATTAACTTATATCCTTAAAACAGAAGACTTGCATCTGTAAAATAATCATGAGGGAGAGTTTCATGTGCTATGAAAACAATGTCGAAGAGAGATTACTAAACAACAGAAGCTATTTGCAAACCAGTGTGCATACGATGCACGATTTGTGGGAAAGGAGAAGTTAACATGAATTTGTGACGGGGGATCGAAGCCCAACTTGTGGGCTGATTACTACACCACCAGGGTTCCTAGAGGAAAGAGCGGTAGTTGGAAAATAAGGTCTTGGTGATAGGAATGAAGCTGGAGATCACATGATAAAAGTTTGCAAGAGTATTGTCATCTCCTAGACAAGATGAGATCTTCATTGCTTAAGCCTTACATGTCAGATGACCTTTCAGAAACCACAGAACTGGCTGGTGTCAGTTGTTGAGATATATGAACTAAAGGTGTGCTGTCCATGTGCTCCACACACTGCAGCCAGGCCACTTCGAGAGACCGGAGAAAATTGAGGCACATACTTTTTTCTACAGCTCAAATTAACCACTGTGGATCTCTTGAGCTAAAGAGGGAAACAGAAGGATCCAAACGCTTCCATTCTTGGCTGGCCTCACCCATCACCACTGTTTCCATCGTAACCTTGACTCTATGTCATTTGAAAGAGCAGCAGACAAGGATTCCATTTTCTCACTGGCTGTAAATTTCACGGCTGTTATTGACAGATAAGAAGGCCTTGCTCTCTGCCTGGTGAGCCGCAAACAGGACGTGGGTGCCCCTGCCCTGGTCTCAGGAAGAGCAAACCAACCAACGTTTCCTGTGTTAACATGAGACTCTGGATTGTGTCTCCACCACGCCGTGTGGGTGCATTTGAATGGGGAACTATCAGCCACCCCAGTAAGAAGGTTTGGGGCCTGCTTCTGATCAATGATGACCCTCCTTGAAAGACTGCATCCCCTAAAACAGGAACAGCGTAAATCTACTTGGTGTGTTGTTGGCCCTGTCTAATGCCCAGAACCTCAGAATGAAAAGGAAGTTGGCAACTACTCCTGTGGTCTGCTGCCGCCACCTGTGGTGGTCACCATGTGCTTAGAGTGCTCCATCCTAGGGGCTCAGCTTCCAGGCTGTACTGTACAATAGGCTGTACTTCACCAAAGGGCTAGCTGGGGCTGGTTTTCTGAACCAGGTGAAATAGCGGAGTCTGGAAGCTCCACCGAACCTGCCCACCATCAGTGACCCTGCCGGCATATGGCAATCTGGTAGCATAGCGTCCACCGTCAGAGCAACACACAAGGCACTGTGATAAGATACACTGACAGACTGATGGCGGCTACTTGACACGGGCCCTGCCAAACACAGACTTACAGAGCGAGACAGGGCGGGCAACCAGATGATAAAGGAAGGTACAACTAGTAGACAGCTTAAGAAATGCATTATCTGAACCACGTCAGCAGGTGGACAGTGAAAGGCCACGTGTCCGTGTCTGTGGCATTCAGAGGAGACAGCCTGAGGCTTGTGTGGCTGAGATACAAGAGAAAGGGCACATCCCTGGCTCCAGATCCCATGAGGGGTCCATGGCAGAGCCTTGTGCCATGCGCTACCATTGGTTTGATGAGAAATTGTGGGCTGAAGGCCTCTGTGGGAACTAGCTCACTGCCATGAAGTCAATGTCAACTCACAATGGCCCTATAGGACAGGGTAGAGCCGCCCCTGTGAGTTTCCAAGACTGTAACTGCTTACAGAGGTAGAAATCTTGGTTTTCTCCTGTGGAGCAGCTGGTGACTTTGAACTGCTGACCTGGTGGTGGGCAGCCTGATGTGTAACCACTGGGCCACCAGGGCCCTTTACATGGAACTATACACAAGTGCAAAGAGGCTGGACAGACAGAAACAGGCCAGGGCAAAGTTGAGAAAAGTGAATATTGTGCACTATCCATCCCTTCCAGAGTTATTTCCAGATTTAATGCAATTCCAAGAAAAATCCTCATGGGATTTTTTAATTGGAATACCAATAAAGGAGAACCAACAGGAGAGAAGAGCTGAGAACATGTTGGAAATTTAAAACGAGAGGGGCTATGTCACTCACCATGGGCTAGAAACAGGTTTCACATCTATACTATAACCATGGCTTTGAATGAGGAGGCTAGCTTAGTGAGAAAGATGAATCACAGAGGAGCAGTTCTGGTTTATTGAGAGTTTATTTTTATCTGATGTAAGACCCATTTGAAACAGAGGTAAAAAGAAAATAGTATTTTATCTCACCTCACATCATAATTTGAACTAAATTCCTGATAAAGAATTAAATAGAAAGTGTTGAGAATGATGATGGCAACAAATGTATAAATGTGCTTGATGGATGGATTGTGATAAGAGTTATACAAGCTCCCAATAAAATGATGTTTTAATTAAATAAAAAAAACAGAAAATCATTTAGAAATAGAAGGCAGCTTAAATGGATCTATTTCTGATTTAGCAATGGATGAAAGCAAGGGAAGGGCTATTCAAAGGAGACATACCTGATTTGCTTTAAATGACTCTAAGGGAATGAAATTTGCCTTAAGAATGCTGATATTTGATTCCGTTAGATCCAAGGTTGTGGGGCGTCGGAGTCAGCTTGATGGCAACTAACAGCATGTTTCACAATATAGAGGGAAATGGGGGGAAAGGGGAGAGGAAGAGGCAAGCCATTGGGAGATTTGATCAGTTGTTTAAGCTGTTGACTCCAAAATCAATGATCTGATATGGAACCCCCACCTAGTTCTCAATATAAAGTTATTGTTGCTTTTTTAAAGAATATTACAATCCATGTAGCAAGGAGAGAAATGTGCTTTCCAGAAAATAACATTAATAAAACCATTCCCTCAACAGTCTTCCACTGGAGCAGACTAGCTGCTGCCTGCTCTTCTTCCATAGCTCGCACAACTGATGCTCAGCATCCCTGCGCGCTCTCTAACCCTTGGGTGCTTCTGCTCAGTTGACTTATCTCCAACTTTTCCCATTGACTGATAAAGGGGACTGTATTAGTCTAGGTACTTTAGAGAGATAAATCCACAGCAACTCATGTATAAGAGAGTTTTATGTAAAGAAAGTGTGCATCATGAAAACATCCCAACCCAATGCC